CTTCTTTGGAGGTCTTTAAGCAGAGGCTTGACAACCATATGTCAGGAGTGCTCTGATGGTGTTTCCTGCTTGGCAGGGGGTTGGACTCGATGGCCCTTGTGGTCTCTTCCAACTCTATGATTCTATGAGCCTGCCAAGACGTGAAGTAGCTGCTCTTGTTGCTGGTTCCTAGTCTGCTTCTGCAGCAACTACCTCCCAGTCCATGTTGATCTACTGTTGTAAGCAGTGTGGCATGTGACAACAGTCCATCAGTGAAGAATGTGCAATGATACACAGAGTGGAAAAGAACACCATATTACACTTGTCACAGTTCTAGGTTGCCATTTGGTGAAGCACGCATACAAAATTTTGAAAATTTTAGTATCTGTTAATTACAGAGCACTTTTGTCCAAAGAACTGCTGTTTTTAAACAAGCAGTACTGCATTCACATTTTAAATCTCTTTCCTAATTTTTCTTACTATAGGGAATTCATCTTTCTTACCACTACCGCACCCTGACTTCATTTTCACCAAACTCTCCAATGCAACAGGAGGATCATTTATTGGCTAGTTACAAGTTCAGACATCATCAATATACACATGAAGGAGAGATTTATTTATTTCCATCCCAATGTACATCATTTTACACTTACCTACATTGAATCTTATTTTCTATTATATTCACCAAGCTTGGGGAGCTCATTTTGGAGCCCTTGACAGAGCAGTCCCAGTCCCAGATAACACCAGAGCATCCAGTAAGAGCTCACAGCGTAGAACATTCCCAACTGCTAAGCAGGGGCAGAGGAAGGGGGTGCTGGGGGTGCGGTCTGCCCCAGGTGTCACCACTGAGGGGGGTGACAAAATGCCGGGCGGCACTCACCGCAGGGCCTGGAGCATGCCCGAGCAATGGGAGAGACGCGGTGGATTGGGCACGTGCAGGCTCCGTGCTGCCCAAACAGTCCACCCACTGCCTCCCCCCCCCCCCCAGCTGTAGGGCGGCTGAGTGGGAGGAGGCAGGCAGACTCCGGAGGCCCTGTGGTGTGCCCCGCCCCAGGCACCCAAGTGGCTTCCTCTGCCACTGCTGCTAAATTGCTCCTTAGTTGAATGGGGCCCCAATTCAGGAGATGTGTCTTCTTCTCCATGGACAATGACCATGCATTAGAAACAACTCTGTTTTGTCTGGGTTGGTTTTCACCTTTTCCAGCTCATTGCTGATTAAAAGAAATCAATTTACAATAGGAAAATTGCACCTGCCAAAGGTGGAAAGGAGACACAGAGCTCTGTGTATTTTGTGTATTGATGATGTGTTGCTCCATACCTCCATACACTATCTTCCAGTGGTTTATTGTATATTTTAGAAAGCACAAATTGGATGGGGGGATTGGGGGGGGCGTTGAATGAAAGCCCTGACAGTGTTTTAGGGTTGAATGAAAATGGTCTCCAACAATTTGTCCATGTCTCAGAAAAGTTTGTTTTGACTCAGTTAATACTGGGTGAAATTAAGTTGTTACTTGATGACAGTGCATGAATGGCTAAGAAAGGACTAAATTGTTCCCTTCAACAATATCAAAATAATAATAAAGTGATGGCAACAAGAACAGTATCTGATGGAAATAAATATTTAACACACAGTGTTTTTTCTCCTTGTGTCCCAGAATTAGGCACAATGTTCCTTGTTTAGCACACTGTGCTAGAGATCACCAACAGCAAATTCATACACCATCCCATTTTATATTGTGATTCGTCATCTGACCTGTGCTTTTTCTTTCTTATTTCTGTTACAAAATATATGAGAACTAGCCTTCAGTGCTTTAGTTACTTGGTAAGTGCAGCTGAATGGAAAAATAGGGGCCTTTCCACATGTTCCACAGGCTAACCCTTCTTCTTAATGTATCTTTGTATGACATTTGCTTATACAGTGGTACCTCGGTTTACGAACTTAATCTGTTCCGGAAGTCCGTTCTTAAAACAAAGCCGTTCTTAAACCGAGGTGTGCTTTCCCTAATGAGACCTCCCACTGCCAGTGCCCTTCCACCATTCGGATTCCGTCTGTAGACCAAGGTAAAGTTTGCAAACCAGAACACTACCTCCGGTTTTGTGGAGTTTGCAAACCAAATCGTTCGTAAACAGAACTGTTCTTAAACCAAGGTACCACTCTACATGTTTTCACTTGTTCACTTATTACATTCTCAAGTGTATTCTTGAAAGGCTAACACAGATGCCCACAGACACACACACACACTGCAAGTAACACTCCTGCAACTCTGCATCTCACAAGGGTGTGTTAGTGAGGCTGATGTTACCATGACCTCCTGCAGTAACCTTTGTTCCTTTCCAATAGTTTTTATAGCTCTTTTGTTTCATGCTGCTTTTCACCAAATCAGATTGTTAATGAATTTGTTTAAAATCTATCATGATTATATTGACTTAGCTATCGATCTGTAAAGAAAAAATGTACTGACAGCAACTGTATTTCTTTCGTTTTGCAAGCTGAAATTGAGCAAAAGCAGCCCTTATATAAAACTGAAATGCATTTCAGTGGATGCAATGACACTTCACCATCTGTCCAACTTCTCAGATTTACTCTCCCAGATAACTCCATATTTCACCCTGCAGTCCCTATAGAAACATCACTTTAAACAGAGCCACATGGAAAAATGTGCTCCAATAACAGCTGAAGGTCTTGCAGTTAGCTGCAAGGGCCTCTAATCTAAATGAGCGATGTTCCTACCAAGTGAACTCCATTTGGAGTTAAGGATAACAGGGTGGAGCACATGCAAGAGAAGAAATGTCTGCCTTTTTATTATTTGTCATTTGAAAAAAGAAATCCATGGCAATGGCAGGGTTCTTTTTTAATTTAAAAAAGACACAGGGATTTACCAATAAAGTGAGGAGATGCTAGAAGCCATCTATCCAGCTGACTTGATGAAAAAGGTATTGGAAATTAACTCGGGAGTCATATGAATTACATTCAATCCATGCTCTAGGCTAAGCACTTGTCAATTTCAGCCACTATTGCAACCTATTACTTACAGACTACATGGCTGGCAAGCTAATCATGCTGGAGCGTGTTAAAAAATAGGTGAAGGAACACAATGCTGCCAGGGACCTCAGTGACTGTGCATATTTGCCAATAGCCCCACTGTGAACAATCAAACCTTCAGCTCTGCCTGCACAACTTGTGACTCAACAAGTCAAATGCAGCAGACCAGATGGACACCACTTTGTGTGTAGATCTAGGCAAGCAGCAAAAAACTGTAAGTTCTGTATAGACCTGTAAGATCACTTGGATCATCTGGGGAAATTCTACTCTAGATGCCAAGCCCTACAGACTGTTATAGAGTGTGCTGACCTGAAAAAAAGCATTTTCTGTGGGATGCCCTTCCATCTGCCAGACATGAAGCAGCTGCCATCAGTTGCTTCAGATGTCTTGGGAAGACTGATCTTTTTGCCCAGGTGCCCTCTGACTCATAAGACCCTGTTTTCTGTGCGTGATCCCCTGATTCTCTGTTTATTTGCCTTTGTATACTGCTTTATTGGTTTGAGGTTGTATTTCAGTTTTAATGGATATTGCTTTTATGTTGTACATTGCATACACTGCTTAGAGATTTTTGAAATATTTAGACATTTAGAAATCTTTTAAAACAAACAAACAAACAAAAACTGCAGGTTTATTGAATACACTTTGAAGCTCAATAGATGGTGGGTGCACTGTGTTCTGCCTCATGGGTCATGCATAGTACAGGCCTGGCCTGAATGAATGGTTGCTTGCCAATCACATACAATGGTAAATAGAATTCCACCAGTGAATCAATGACTGCACATAGTCTAGGAGCTCCTCATCATGGAGAGGCTCTCTTATCGATCAATAAAATGATGGGCCACACTAATCCTACAGATTTCCTTCTAAAGTACATGCTATTTCTGATTTGTACAGAAGCTAATAAGGCACTTACTAGCCACTTACTTCCAAGGTTGCCAGTAAACCTTGAAACTTTACTTCAGTTTGCTTATTGGACACTTCCGTTCCAGTCTAAAATAAATATGGTTATCACATGATTTAAATTGTACTGACTGGAGACCCAGCACTGGAAGACTAAAGGTGAAATCCTATGCAAGTTTAGGTGGGAGTCAGTGTGCAGATGGACATGAGTTGGCATGCATAGAATTGTACTGTAAGTATATTCATAAAGTGTAATAAAATACACTGCTTTAACATTCAGCCTATTAATTTAATAAATGCTGTAACTTTAAATTGGATGCAAAAATATTTTTTAATTTGTATCCTGCCCTTTGTCCCCTAGAAGCCATGCATTATTAAAATGCTGCTCTAAAATGACTTTAGAAAGTATCACTTCACATTCCTGAAGGATAGCCATGTTATTTTCTAGTAACAAAAAAACAACACCAAAGAGTTCTGTGGCACCTTAAACACTTATGTATTTACTGTAGCATAAGCTTTTGTAGGTCAAACCCTCCTTCATCTGATGAATGAACTATTTTCCTCCATTGAGAAATGTCTCGAGCTAGACGGATACAGAGTGAGGCCAGAATGCCATGAAATGCAAAAGGTATCATTGGCTGCCACATTTCTAAGTAGAGCATAGAGTGACCCATTAAGAATTATAGTCACCGGTTGCAATACTACTTTGAATGGCTCATACAACATCCAGAGTTGGGCATTACCTATATGATGAAATAGTCTTCCAAGTTTGATTATGTCATAATTGAATAGAATCAAATTTGCTGGAAATTTTCAGTTCAGCAATTTCACTCTGGAGCCTCTCTGATGCCTTTCAGTGAAGAATGGTGAACTCAGCTACCTGTGAAATATTTGCCTACTACTGTGATTGTTGCCATTTTCTGCGACAGGTATATTATTTTGTAGAATGCACTAGCTGGGATGCTGTCCTGCTGATGATACATTATGACAGCATTTTTTAAAACTTCTGATAGCTGGGTACACTTTCTTTTGAAAAAAAATTGGAGGTAGGTTTCATTCTTACACAAAGAAGTCATACGCAGAGGAGTGAATCATGCATTGAGACACCACGGACAGCCTTCCTGTGAGGGTGAGTAAATAAAGGAATGAGCTTCAGAAAAAAATGCAATGATACTGTTGTACAGGGATGGGGAACATCAGGCCCAGAGGCTGAATGTGGCCCTCCAGGCTGTTGGAGGAACTGGACATGGAGAAAGGGCTTCATTTCCTTTATGAGCTTAAATTACCCCAGGGATGAGATAAGCTAACAGGTGCATGGTCAGCCACTAAACTATTTTGGACCTTAAGCTGACTCTGTGAGGTGACTGGAACTGTAGGCAATGCCGGCTTCGTGGGCCCATCACTTACAATTCCCATTGCAGGCCTCCCTATCTGACTCTTGGGACTGCCCAAGTAACACACCCTTCCCCCAAGCTGCAGTCCTGCCTGGTCCTGTGCTGCATCTTCCTACAGTGCCTGGATTGTGGCTGTGAACTCTCATAATCCCATTCCCTAGATGGAGGTTTGAGAGTGGTATTCATCAGGCCACACCCATTTTGTCATGCTTGCAACTGGAAGAATGCCCACTAGGCAATGTGGCCTTTGTACGAGGCACTGCTGAAAGGTCTGCTACTGCCAGAACTGCATGGGAAGAGGCTTTTTAGTGAAGTAATAAGGCAAAGCGATACAGAGTAGGCAAGAAGGGTAGGCCCCATGGCCAATCATGGGCCTACCAAAAAATCCCTACTCATTTCCCAAAACAGGGTCCCCCCACATCCCAAGAGAGCAAAGCAAAAGCTGTGTGCCCCATCCCAGTCAAAACAGGAGGGAAGGACAAACCCTTCCACAGTGCCAGGCTCAGGGAGCGACACCGAAAAATAAATCAAAAGTTTTGCGTTGAAGCATTAGTAATTTGTGTTAGGAAAGGCTCTGTGTCATGGATAGAATATAACTTCTATTCAGCTGATAAATTTATCTAGTATTGCGGTATTTTAATAAGCAAGTACACGGAGGGTAAATGTCAGCCTGCGTGATCCCTCTGACTAGCAGATGCTGTTCAATGGGACGGCGGGGGGCAGGCAGGAGGCGAGTTAAAGAACTGCCAAATACTATGAAGGCCAAATTAGAACAAATGTTTGTCATGCAAAAAGGGCAACTTGTCGTCTGATGGAAGGAATTTAATTAGAAAAGTCACAGAGAGGCTGCCTCAAAAGTACTAGTCCCATTTTCTTTAGATAAGCTAATGAAGCTCATTGAACTCTGCAAAGAATTGCTGAACCAGTAATATACAGAAAAGGAATCCAGGGGAAGAAAATGCTGAAACAAACCCTTAGACATGAGAAAGATCTATTGTTTACACCACTCTAGCTCACAACACAAAGTTATAATTGCATATTTACCTACTGATTCCTCTTCTGTTTAAACAAACCAGAAGCAAATGAATGATCACAGGAGAAATACTGTAAGTTTCTCTTTGCAATACATTCAAAATTTAAATTTTATGTAATACATGCTAAGTCATCTACATGGTACATTATTTACCCAGTTTGTATTCTAATTCCTTCAAAGATCCCTGACTCCAACAGCAGCCATAACAGAAACCTATTAAAGAACATCATGCTTTGAATTAGCCAGGGACAAACCAAATTAGTGGGAAAATGGCAATGTAAAACATGCTCAGACAGGCATAAACCTAACATACTACCGCAACATGCTTTTTCCATTGGGCTGTCCTTCTTAACACTTTGGAGCTTCAACTAATGCAGAGCACAGCAGCCCGCTACATGCCAGGGGTGTGCAGCCCATGGGAGAATTTCAGTGTTTGGAGCAGCTGCCCCTAGCATTATGCATTGCATTGAAGTTGCTGGTGGTGACCTATGAAGCCTTAAAGAGTGTGGGTAAATAAACGTTTGCCACTGTGCTCCACTATGGAAAACACCCACCCACACTGCCACCAGGAATGCTCTCTAAAGCAGAGCAATTGTCGCAAGAAGCTTTGCAGGATCAACAAGGCTATGAACAGCTCAGTAGCTGTATAAGGTCAGACAGGACCTTCTTAGCTTCCCTCATCCCACTTAACTCAAAGCTACAGCCCACCTCTGGCCACAAAGTTCAGACCAAGGACTTCCATGGTTTGCAACCATCTCCTGGCTGAAGAGCTAGCAACATTTGGGTATAGTACCAGATGGTCTCTGGCCATGAATACAGTGTCCCCTAAAATTCCTTGGAGGGTATGTTAAAGTCTAATGATAGATTTACAGTGGTCTCTGGTATGTTTGGTTTTGCTTGTTTGTTTTTACATCTGACAAAGCTTAAAAGGTAAAGGTAAAGGACCCCTGAAAGCTAAGTCCAGTCCCGAACAACTCTGGGGTTGTGGCTCTCATCTCGCTTTACTGGCCGAGGGAGCAGACGTTTTGTCTACAGATAGTTTTTCCAGGTCATGTGGCCGGCATGACTAAGCCGCTTCTGGTGAAACCAGAGCAGCGCACGGAAACACCGTTTACCTTTCCGCTGGAGCAGTACCTATTTATCTATTTGCACTTTGACATTCTTTCGAACTGCTAGGTTGGCAGGAGCAGGGACCGAACAATGGGAGCTCACCCCATTGCGGGGATTCGAACCCTGACCTTCTGATTGGCAGGCCCTAGGATCTGTGGTTTAGACCACAGCGCCACCTGCATCCAAGCTTACTTTGTGCCATTGAATGCAGTGGGACTAGCTTCTGGGTCAGTAGGTGTAAGTTACTCAAGTCCCATCTGCACAATACATTTCAAGCAGCACCACTTTAAACAGTCATAAGAATGCCAGAAGAGCTGCTGGGTCAGGCCAGTGACCCATCTAGTTCAGGGTCCGATTCCCACAGTGTGAAGCCTGTGAGAAGCCTCAAGAGGATTCAAGCACTGAGCCCTGTCTCCTCCTGTGGTTTCCAGCAACTGGTATGCAGAAGCACTGCTGTTTCTAACCATTATTACTTACTTCCCCCAAAGAATCCTGGGAAATATAGTTTGGTAAGGGTGCAGAGAGTTGTTAGGAGGCCCATATTCTCCCTCGGAGCTACAATTCCAAGAGAGGTTTAATGATCAAACCCGTTCCCCCGGGAACTCTGGGAATTGTAGTTCTCTGATCAGAACGGGGTCTCCTAACATCTCTCAGTAAGCTGCACAAACAGCAGTTCCAGGATTCTTCCTGGGGTGCCATGACTGTTTAAAAGGGTGCAGCGCTGCTTCCAATGCCTGGTGCAGATGGCGTCTGTCTGAACTAACTGGCACAAATGAGCATTAAACCACTTTAATTCTACCTTAGAGTGGCATAGCAACTCGAGAAGAAATCAGTTGATATTTCCAGTATATCTAATCTGAGGGCATTATTTACGCTGGTCAACAACAAATTTGTTATCTGCATTTTTTCAGTTGATTTAGGATGAATCTGATGCGCTGAATCAAAAAATCACATTGGTTTTGCTCAATCAGGTCACGTTTTTGAGCTATGGCCACATGTAGTTTTTTTACGTTTTTGTTCACATGTACGCTTGTGTGGAGCATTTTAGAAGAAGTTGGTGGGGGTAAAATGCCATGTTGAATAATTGTTTTGATTGGAAATGATTATTTTAATGACAAGAAGTATTCAGGTCCGATAGTTCTGGGTGATTATGTCGAAAAGGGATCAGTTTGAAGTCATAAAACCTCTGTTTTTTCTCAGAAGAGAAGGACTTGGTGTACTGTGCAGATATTGCGCAGCTTCTGCTCAAGCTTGGAGTGCCACAGTACGAACCCAAAGATTGGAGACTGTTCATTGACAGCAGCAAGCGATCACTGAAATGTGTTCTGCTACACAACGGCAACCAGTTTGCCTCTATACCCCTGGCTCACTCGAGTACACTGAAGGAGAACTATGAAGTGGTGAAGTATGTGCTGGAGAAAATTGGTTATGATCATAAGTGGTTTATTTGTGTTGACCTGAAGCTGGTGAACTTTTTGTTGGGACAACAGTCTGGCTTCACCAAGTACCCATGTTTTCTGTGCATGTGGGATAGTAGGGACCGTGCTCAGCATTACACGAAGAAGGACTGGCCTGTGCGGGAGGAATTGGTGCCTTGCAGAAAAAGGAACGTCATCAACGACCCTCTGGTGGACAGAGATAGAATACTCTTCCCACCGCTGCACATCAAGCTCGGCTTAATCAAGCAGTTCACCAAGGCTCTGGACAAGGATGGTGACTGCTTCACTTACTTGTGCCAGGCTTTTCCAGGATTGACCATGGAGAAGTTGAAAGCTGGCATCTTTGACGGTCCTCAGATCCGTCTGCTCATCAGAGATCCAGAGTTCGGAAACTCAATGAACAAAGTGGAACTGGAAGCGTGGAAGGCATTTGTTCTGGTAGTGAAGAACTTTCTTGGCAACAATAAGGCCAGAAACTACGCAGAACTTGTCAACAACATGCTGACTGCTTTCAGAAACCTGGGCTGCAACATGAGCGTCAAGATGCACTACCTATTTTCACATATGGACCGGTTTCCTGAGAACCTGGGTTCAATGAGTGACGAGCAGGGGAGAGATTCCATCAGGACATGAAAGAGATGGAGACCAGGTATCAGGGTCGCTGGGACGCAGTCATGATGGCTGACTACTGTTGGACTCTGAAGAGAGACCTCCCTGCCGCTGAACATTCCAGGAGTTCCAAGAAACGGAAGTTCAAGCCCTGAAGTTTGTTTTTTTTTTTAAATATTTATTAAAGTTTCGCATAAAAAGAGACACATCAATAAGAAAAAAAAAATTAAAATTAAGAAGAAAAATACAGTATACAAAATACAAAAAGAAAAAAAAAGAAAAAACAGTTAAAAACACTTCCATCCTTTCATCACTACTTTTAGATTAACTTATTTTCTGGACCTCCTCATACCTCCCTCTTTTGTATTCCAAATTCAGTTTGTTTGTCCAGCAATTCCTTTCCCTCCTTTTTAATCCCAATCCTTGATCTTAATATAATATAACATTAAATTTTTACCTATTAATAGCCAATTTTCCATTCTTTTAACCTTTTTAGTCCTAATCCTTAATCTTGATCTATATATAACTTTAAAGCCTGTACAGCTAGAAACCACTTAATTTCAATTCATCATCACTCTAACATTCTTTAATTTTGCAATATTTCTGTAGGTAATCTTTAAATTTCTTCCAATCTTCTTCCACCAACTCTTCTCCCTGGTCACGGATTCTGCCAGTCATTTCCGCCAATTCCATATAGTCCATCAATTTCATCTGCCATTCCTCCAGTGTGGGTAGCTCTTGTGTCTTCCAATACTTTGCGATGAGTATTCTTGTTGCTGTTGTTGCATACATAAAAAAAGTTCTATCCTTTTTTAACACCGATTGGCCGACTATGCCCAGGAGAAAGGCCTCTGGTTTCTTCAAGAAGGTATATTTAAATACCTTTTTTAATTCATTATATATCATTTCTCAGAAAGCCTTAATCTTTGGGCACGTCCACCAAAGGTGAAAAAATGTACCTTCGATTTCCTTACATTTCCAACATTTATTATCAGGCAAATGGTAAATTTTTGCAAGCTTGACTGGGGTTATGTACCACCTGTATATCATTTTCATAATATTCTCTCTTACGGCATTACATGCCGTAAATTTCATACCTGTGGTCCATAACTGTTCCCAGTCAGCGAACATAATGTTATGTCCAACGTCTTGTGCCCATTTAATCATAGCAGATTTCACCGTTTCATCCTGAGTGTTCCATTTCAGCAGCAAGTTATACATTCTTGACAAATTCTTAGTTTTGGGTTCTAACAGTTCAGTTTCTAATTTTGATTTTTCCACCTGGAAGCCAATTTTCTTGTCCAAATTAAATGCCCCCATTATCTGAAAATAATGAAGCCAGTCTCGCACTTTGTTTTTTAATTTTTCAAAACTCTGCAATTTCAGTCTATCTCCGTCTTGTTCCAAAATTTCCCAATATTTCGGCCATTTGACCTCCATATTGAGCTTTTTCAAGGCTTTCGCTTCCATTGGTGACAGCCACCTTGGAGTTTTGTTTTCCATTAAGTCCTTGTATCTTATCCAAACATTAAACAGTGCTTTCCTGACAATGTGATTTTTAAATGCTTTATGTGCTTTGACCTTATCATACCACAGATATGCATGCCATCCAAATACATTGTTAACACCTTCTAGGTCCAAAATGTCAGTGTTTTCAAGAAGCAGCCATTCTTTCAACCAGCAAAAAGCTGCTGATTCATAATAAAGTTTGAGGTCTGGCAGGGCAAATCCACCTCTTTCCATTGCATCCGTTAGTATTTTAAATTTTATTCTGGGCTTCTTGCTCTGCCAGACAAATCTAGAAATATCTTTCTGCCACCTCTTGAAACAATCCATTTTGTCCACAATTTGCAAAGTTTGAAACAGAAACAACATTCTAGGCAATACATTCATTTTTATCGCAGCAATACGGCCCATCAGTGAAAGCTTCAAATTTGACCAAATTTCTAAATCTTTTTTCACTTCAGCCCAACATTTTTCATAGTTATCTTTAAATAAATTCCCATTTTTTTGCTGTCATGTTAATCCCCAGGTATTTAACTTTCTTAACCACTGTTAGACCTGTCACATTCTGAAACCTCTCTCTCTCCATTGGTGTTAGATTTTTCTCTAAAACCTTAGTTTTTGACTTGTTCAATTTAAATCCTGCAACTTGACCAAATTCTTGAATCAGTTCTAAAACCCTTTTAGTACTAGATTCTGGCTCCTGTAACGTCAATACTAAATCATCTGCAAATGCTCTCAATTTGTACTGTTTAGCTCCGACCTGTATACCTTTAACCAACTGGTCCCTTCTAATCATGTTCAGCAAAACCTCCAGGACCGAAATAAAAAGAAGTGGGGAAATTGGGCAACCTTGTCGTGTCCCTTTTTCTATTTTAAGTTCTTCCGTCACCACATTATTTACAATTAATTTAGCCTTTTGTTCTGAATAAATTGCACTTATACCATTCTCAAAGCCTTGGCCTACCCCCATACCCTGTAGATTCTTCTTCATAAAGCTCCAAGAAATATTATCAAAAGCTTTCTCCGCGTCCACAAATATCAAAACTGCTTTAGTATTTATATTCACTTCTAGTTTTTCCAGAATATCAATTATATTCCTCAAATTGTCAGACAAATGTCTTCCTGGGAGAAAGCCCGCTTGATCTTTATGAATCTCTTCCATCAGCACTTTTTTAAATCTCTTAGCCAAAATGTCTGCAAAAATTTTGTAATCCACATTGAGTAATGATATTGGGCGGTAGTTCTTAAGCTGAGTCTTTTCAGTCTCTGTTTTCGGTACAAGTGTAATATATGCTTCTTTCCACGACTCTGGTGCTCTTTTCCCCTCCATTATTTCATTGCAGACCTCTTTCAAAGGTTGTATTAACCATTCTTTCAAGGATCTGTAATATCTAGAAGTCAGTCCATCCGGTCCTGGAGACTTACCCAATTGCATATTTTGAATGGCACCTTCTATCTCCTGTTCAGTAATTTTATAGTTCAACATTAGTTTATTTTCTTGAGAGATTTTTTGTAATCCATTTGTTTTCAAAAATTGATCTAGATCAGTTTCTTTCAGTGGCCCTTGTGTATATAGTTGTTTAAAGTACCTCTGGAAACAATTTCTAATCTCTGCTGGATTCTGTATATTCCTTCCTTCCACTTCTAAGTTCGTGACTGTATTTAATTTTTGTCTTTTTTTCATTTGCCAAGCCAACAGTTTACCGCATTTGTTAGCCGACTCAAATGTCTTTTGTCTCATATGTTTAATTTTCCATTCTATTTCCTGATTCATCATTTTCATATATTGTACTTGATGTAACTTTAATTCTCTCAAAATCTCTTGAGATTTTGGATTTGTTCTCAGTCTTTTTTCACTTTCCTTTATTTTCTCCAATATCTTATCCTTCTTCTCATTTTGAATTCTCTTCTTTACTGCATTCTGTTGTATCAGGAACCCTCTCATAACCGCTTTACTTGCGTCCCAGATTACTCTTTTTTCCACATTAGTGTTCAATTTTATCTCAAAATAATCTCTCAAGGTTTTTTGGGCCTTCTTAAGCACTTCTCCATCCCTGAATAAGGTGTCATTCATCCTCCATCTAAAGGAGCCAGTTGGTGTTACTTTCATTTCCATCTTAACAGCATTATGGTCGGAGCAGGTTTTCGGGCAGATTTCCACCTTTCTTGTCTTTGGTGCCATTCCTCTAGTTATCCATATTTGGTCAATTCTTGTCCATGTCATTTTGGCTTCAGAAAAGAAGGTTCCCTCTTTAGCCATGGGGTTTCTTATTCTCCAAATGTCGACTAAATCCAAGTTGTCTGTCATGTCAAAAAAAGTTTTCGCTAGTCTACCATCCTTAGTGACTACCTGTCTTTGTGCCTTGTCCATATGTGTAGATACCACTCCATTCATGTCTCCCACCAAAATCATGTTGTAATCCAAATAGTCCATCAAAGTCTCATGCAACTTCTTAAAAAAATCAGATTTCCCTTCATTTGGTGCGTAAATTCCTACTATCAAAAATTTTTCTCCTTGTGTTTGAATCTTCCTTGGTCATCTTTAAAAATAAATTTCGGTGATAGTCTGTCCTTTGCATAAATCACAACCCCTCTTTTTTTAACTTTGTCCGATGAAATAAACTCCTGACCAAGTCTTTTATTTATCAATAATTTCCTGTGTATTCTTGTTATATGTGTTTCTTGTAGACAAATCAAGTCCAATTGTTCCTTTTTAAATAAATGAAACACAGATTTCCTTTTCTGAGGGGAATTGAGGCCATTACAATTCCAGCTTAGTAGTTGCAGGGCCATGATGTAATTATTTTAATTCTCCTCCAACAGCACCTAGTGCCTGTTCCTCTTCCGTCGGTGGTATCACGTTTTTCAGGCGGTCTTTTAGTTCCAGAGATAGTCCTGGTGTGTCTAAAGTTTCTCTTACAATTGCTCTTAACTCTCCTGTAACTTTCTTTTGTAGGTCTTCTCCGTGGTCTCCCCAAAATTTGTCTTTGTCGTCTTCCGATCTTATTTTCCTCTTCTTTCCTTTGTAACTGAAGGATAGGCCTTGAGGAAATTCCCACCTAAAGTTAATTCTATTACTTCTCAACAAGGTAACCAAGTCTTTGTAGTTAGATCTGAGATCCAGAAGGTGTTTCGGAATGTCCTTAAATATCTCCACTTTTGACTGTTGTATTTCCAGTGTCTTCTGGAAATGCAAACTCAAGATCTTGTCCCTCTCTTCTTTTGTTCGGAGAGTAATCAAACAATCTCTCACCTTCTTTCCTCCTCCTTTTCCAAGTCTAAAAGCATTCACTATTTTAAAGCTGTCTTTTGCCAATTCTGGATTCCAAAAATCTATGAATTCCTGTGTGAGAAAATCAACTAAATTGTCTTTCTCCACTTCAGGTACGGCTCTGACCCTTAAGTTCACTTGTTTCACCCTTAAGTTCACTTGTTTTTACTTTGCAAAGGCCTTTTCTTCTAAAAAGCTATCTATGTTATATATGAGATTTGTTGGCTTAATGTAATTATGCAAAGGATTTAGAAAGTAAGAAATGTTAGATTCTTATGTTAGATTCTTATTTCATTGATGGTGTGTGAGAATGTGAACCCAAGATCTCTGTTTAGATATAATTTAATACCATGAGCCATTTGTTTTAGCCATTTGTTTTGGAATGCAGGAGCAACAGGGGCAAAAGGTGATCTGGTAATTAAGGTGCCTTGTCGAGGCAAATGTAAGATATATGGCTACTTGTCTGCCATTTATGGATAGAAGGAAATATAGCTCTTTGTCTCCCATAAAAGGTAATAGGAAATGGGTGTATCTTTTATGATTGGTTCTAGCAAACAGCCGATAGGAATTCCAACCAGGCTGATTGGACAGAGGCAGCCAAAGGAGGAGCAAGGGGGTTGGGCTGAGGAAATATAAGTGCTGGCCATCAGGGCTGGAGGGGGGCAGAGCTTTGGTAACCATATACCACTGTGCCTATCATTTATTTGTCTGACAAATAAATTATTATTTTAATTTCTCTATTGCTGCGTTGAATATTTCATTCCAGCTAAGCGTGAACCACAAGCAGGGTACTACACTTCCATTTTGCCCTATAAAATTTATAGAACTAATATTTAAGGGCTGCCTAGGTGGTAGGGCTGTGTGGGTGTTTTGAAATCAATATCGGGGAGGGAGCTGGCAGCTTTACTTGGGACCCCAACATCCACACGAAGAGGGACTATTTAAGCCTTTCCTTCCCATTTGCACTAAAGAGGACATGGTTTTCTTTGGGATGCATTGTGTGAAACAAGGGCTATTTATTTATGATATTAAACCACGTGTCTCACCCTTCTAATGTAAAATTGTGAGGGGTTATTTTTCTTCTTCACACAGATATGTTAAAAACCCTGAGCACAATAAAAATACTCTGTATGTGTAAATTTAACCTAGGGGCGTGTCAGAGGTGGGGCCAGAAAGGGGGAACTTAAGGTGGATCTTAAGTCCCTCTCACTTGGTCACATGACTTGGCAACATGGGTGGTGTAATTCAAACACTCTCTTAAAGGCTTGCTCTTCCAAAGTGTCTCAGTGCTAGACAGATAAAAGTAGGCCAGTGGCAGCCACAGAGGGCCCTGGCATTCGCCTCACTTGGCAGGCCACATGTCTGGCGCTTTGGGCTCCTGCACTTGATGTGGGGTTGGGCCTGACTCTGAAAGCTTTTGTTATCTTTCAAAACACGCAAACTTTATTTTTCTGTGTATTTTTTGTACATCCTAAATCTTCCTCTTCACAGCAACTAGAAATTTTTGTTTTAAAAATTCATCAGGTTTACCAATTTCACCCTGTAACATGTTATGAACTCCCATCAGGATCAATGGGAATGTTGCTCATCGCTTCACCCTTTGCTCAGCCATCCCAAATGCACCAAAATCACACTTATTCTCTTAAACTCCAGAGGAGAAAAAATAAAATGACCTTCTTGTCATGTATACTATCTAGCCCATATACCAAGCTTATTATTCACCACAAGAAATAATTATTGTGTAGTAGCTCATCTTGGCCTTCCTTATTGCTGTATCTTCTCACCAAAGGGACATGCCCATCCAGCAGTGCCACACCACGAACTGCCCGCAATCATCCCTTATAGTTGGTGCCTCAGCATTCAAAACATCCCGTTTAACAAAGTCTAGGAACATAGAATCATAGAGTTGGAAGAGACCACAAGGGCCATCGAGTCCAACCCCCTGCCAAGCAGGAAACACCATCAGAGCACTCCTGACATATGGTTGTCAAGCCTCTGCTTAAAGACCTCCAAAGAAGGAGATTCCACCACACTCCTTGACAGCAAATTCCACTGTCGAACAGCTCTTACTGTCAGGAAGTTCTTCCTAATGTTTAGGTGGAACCACTTCCGGGTCAGTGCCATCGGCAATGGCGGAGTTCCTCTGACCGGGAGGAACCCGCTCCGTGAAAATCGAGTTTTGCCGCCGCGGCGAAGGCGGAGACCCTCTAAAAATCCCAGGCAGAGGAAGCCTGGGAACGTGGGATTCGGCTGACACCAGGAGTGCCTCCCCTACTCGCAGGGAAACCCTTTTTCGGGGATCCGAAGCGACGTGGGGTGAGTGGCGCGGTGTTTTGAATCAACCGCTACTTTTATGGAGTGAAGCCGCACAGCCGTTGCCGGAGAGCGCTGACTTTTTCCTGTGGACAATTGGACTCTAAACAAGTACCCGTGAGTAGAACAGAAAATTGGATTAGGAAACATTTTAATTTGGCACTGAAGCGGGAAGGCTCTAAACAGGAAGTCCACCTCCCGTTTTTTGTAAATAGATTGAAGCAAAAACTTTGTAAGCTAAAGTCTGGAAAGTCGGATATAAAGGTCTAAATTTCCTTCAGATATTACCACCAAAACCCCTCTTGGAAGCAGGAGAAAAGGGGGGGGGAATTTTTGACTGTTTAAGCCTGCAAGAGAGAGAGCAAAGAAAGATAAATTTCCACCGTCTCAAACCTGGGAACGGGATGCCAGAGACAGAAATTTATGGGGAAGTTCATCGACTGTGAATGGAACGTCTTTTGACAGATAGTAAAAAAAAGAGAAACAAACTGACTCCAATGTTGCTTCTCGCATTCAAAAGAAACAAAGTATTTGAAAAATGAAAGTAATTTTTTTGTTGTTGTTGTTGGTCCTGCTTTCAAAAGATGGATGCAAATAGAAATTGTCTCCTCTAGAGGGAGCTTGTTAATTGGTTGCCGGAGTCGATCTGGGGATTTCACAGCTGTAAAATTAGGATTGTGAGACCAGACTCTGACCTTGAATAAAAATGTGTTTACAAGAAGTTTTGGTGCTTGCTTTTTGCAAGACAAGCGCCTTGCTGGAGCAGATGCATGAGAAGATGGATTTGATGACTGTTGCAGTTAAAAACTTTGGACAAACGGCGAATACCCATATAGAAACCATTCAGGAACCAGCCCAGGAACTTGTTTTGACAGGGCAAGCGCAAGTGCAGAAGATAATGGAGGAGGTTGCTGTTGAACCTCAAGTAACAAAAATGGAGAGATCCGAGGCCTTGCAGGAGCATAAGCCGCTGTTCTTGATGTTTGAATCTGGAGTGGACCAGGGGGGGCCTGGAGTTGTGAGGGCTCTTAATTTTGGAAGGACTTTGAAACATGCTTTTAAATACTTTCTGGATTACAGTGTCGACTGTGGGGAATGGGACTGTGGGGAATGGGCTGATATGCTGAGGAGAGATGGAGATATTTTTGGATTGGAGTCCCCCCGAGACCTACCCCCCAATGAGAAAGGAAAGAAATTAAGAAAAAGATCAACAAAAGACAAAGTAAAGTGCAGGTATAAACAAGAAGAAGATCTGCAGAAGGGACATGGAAAAGACTTAAGAGCCTCGGACATAAGATCACCAGGTTGATGGACTAGATGGAATGGACAAGAAGGACTGACAAAACCCAAGACCAGGAAGAAGAGACGTTGGATGAAGATTGGAAGAAAGTTTTTAAAAAATTTATTTTGAGAATTAGTGTAAAATTAATGAGTATTAGGAAAAATGTTGGAATGAAACTATTTGGCCTTAGTAGAAATGATATAAGGAGTTATGTACATTAAGTTTTAAGTTTTAAGGTTGTTGTTTTTTTATGGTAAGATAAGGTTAAAAAAATTAAGGTAAATTGAATGACAGAATATAGTGAAAGATGGAAAGGATTTGCTGAGTTAATTAAAAGGTTAGATCATTAAGATAAATTATATAATAAAAATTGAGAAAGATGGAAAGAATCTGCTGAAACAATTAATTAAATTAGAATACAAAAAGGGAGGTGTGAGGAGGTCGATGAAATAAGTAAATGAAAGATAAAGATATGGAACATTGGATGTGTGCTTTAATGTTATTGTGTTTTTTGTTTGTTTGTTTTTTTGCTGTATTGTTGTATTGTTTTTTATGCTTTTCTTTTTATCTTTGTCAATTTTTTTGTTGTTTTCTTTTTCTCTTTTTTCTGTAATTCTTAAACTTTTAATAAATATCATTTTTTTAAAAAATGTTTAGGTGGAATCTTCTTTCTTGTAGTTTGGATCCATTGCTCCGTGTCCGCTTCTCTGGAGCAGCAGAAAACAACCTTTCTCCCTCCTCTATGTGACATCCTTTTATATATTTGAACATGGCTATCATATCACCCCTTAACCTGACTGGGCGGTAATTATTTGGGTCCTCTCTTTTCCCCTTTTGAAAATAGGGACAACATTTGCCCTCCTCCAGTCTGCCGGGACTTCGCCTGTTCTCCAGGAATTCTCAAAGATGACTGCCAGTGGTTCTGAGATCACATCTGCCAGTTCTTTTAATACTCTTGGATGCAATTCATCTGGCCCTGGAGACTTGAATACATCTAGACTAGCCAAGTATTCTTGTACTATCTCCTTAGTTATTCTGGGCTGTGTTTCCTCTGCTGAATCATTTGCTCCAAATTCTTCAGGTCGGGCATTGTTTTGTTTATCGGAGAAGACTGAGGCAAAGAAGGCATTGAGGAGTTCAGCCCTTTCTGTGTCCCCTGTCATCTATTCCCAGGTTGCCTCTCTGCTGCAGCAGAAATTGAGCACTTGACTCAATGAGCAGCAAGAAGCAAGTCCCTTCCTACTGCCGTCATCCATTCCACGTGGAGCATGCAGACATCTTGTACAGTTTGCTGTGCTCTAAAATGTGTGCTAAAAAGATCCATCCAACCAACCAACCGCAGTAACTCTGCTTACTAGGTCACCTGTTCACTGCAGTAGAAATGGAGGATGTGGGTGCAAGATGCTCCATGAGAGGCTGTAGATGTTTCTTCCCCATAGGTGTGGCTCACCTGCTGCTGCCTTTGCCGGCCTCTATGGAAATCATGAAACCCCCTTTCTTGTCAATGGAGCTTCCACAGGGAAGCATCTTAGCTGATGGTGCCCTATAGCTTTAACTTCTGCTCTGTGCCATAAAAGTTAGCTTTTCTGTGGCTGGAGTTAGAATTTTATTGGGTACATTTCTTATCACAACTTTGCAATAATTGCTTTGCATTTTAATATGGGCGAAGATAAGGTACCTGTGGCTACTTGCAATTAACTTAATTGATATCTTGCATTTTCAATTATTTACAATACCGATTGTCTGCAGTTACTTAAATCCACTGCTTCCTCCTCTTTTTTCATTTCACATGCGGGGTGAGAGTTTGCAATGAGCCTTCAGCAGTTCTTTATGCTTCAATGAAATATACCTATAATTTTCCTTTTTAAAAACTTTTAGATATATATAAAAAATGAAAGTCAAACTAGACGAATGTAGCATGTAATAAATTGCTATACTTTTCATTACTAAGGAATGTGTGCTATTTTCTCCACTATATATTTAGCTGGTTTTGGCTTTGAACTTTTGCACTTCAATCAAAGTGTAATTTTGAAGAGAATTGTTTCTTATCTTTTAAAGGTAGCTCAGCTAAGATTCTTTTCCACTAGAACTAAATACATAAAATTGTATGTCAGGGCCTTGCTGGGCTGCCCTCTCTGAAAAGCCCCTATCACTCCATAGCCTAACCTAGAGGGAATGGCATCTCCTGCAGTGGGGGAAGGAAGTCAGAGGAACAGAGGTAACCCACCCTCATATCACACTGGTAGCTGCTGAAATATTAAATGAACCAATGTTCTATATCTGTTAAGAAGAACTAAGCCTATTTCAAGGCAAGAGAAGAAAATTTCAAGGGCATCAGACTAGGCAAGATAGCACCACTGCAACTTCCCTCAAGTCTGGCAGAGCAGTCCAGAACCTTTTGAGCTACTGGGTTCATTTCACTTCCCACTTGCCACCACCTGCAGAGTGACACCAGCATTGCCCACTACCAGAACTCCCCCTTCTGGCTGCAAACAGGCAGGTGAGGAAAAGTGACACTGGTGGGAGCACCAGAGACACCAACCACAGGAAAGCCCCCAAATGGCCAGTGTTTTATTACCATCAGTGCCAGTGGTGCCAACTTGAATAAAATTCATGCAAGCCTTGCCCCACAGAATTGATCACAAGACACAGTGCATGCACATTATTTGAATGGCAATGCTCATTAACTCTCTTTTTTTTGGGGGGGGGCTCTCAAAAAGGAGTTGGATCCTACCAAAACATGAACACAAAATGGCAGAAAGTAGCTAGCCTTCACAGACACCAGCACAGAAAGCACTCCATATCATCTCAAATACAGCTGCTAGTTGTCAGTTACAGAGAACTGAGCTGATGGCCTGAGAAGTGTTTTGGATCTGCCGCTCTACCACTCTCACCCTGATTGAAGTGAGTGGTGGCCCTGCCTAGCCAGGTGGAAATGGCAGCAGGTGGGTTGAAGGCCGAGAAAAGCCCTTTCTCCAACCCCACTTTCATCCTATCAGTTCCCTGCAGTCATCATGTTTGAGATGACAGCTCAGCTGAGCCCAGGATGAGAGAGAGGTTGTCCCCCCTGCAACCCCTGTCCTACCTCCCCCCCAACAGCAACTGGACTCTATCTGGACCACAGTCAGTCTTCCTAGATACATCACCTCACCAGGATAGATTATTCAAATTGGTACCAAGGGAGTAGATGTAGAGAACATGCTGTGTCATGAATAAAGTTATTACATATTCTGGTGGTGGTGGTTGTTCATAATTTTAATTTATTACCCATCCTTCACCCTCAGGTTCCAATTCAAAATACAACATGAAAAACCATTTTAAAAACAGACAATTATTTTAAAATGCTATCACTAAAAACAGAACGGGTCCTGAAAAGATATAGAAAACTGGTTTCTGCCACAGATAGCTTCCTTCTTCTGCCCCATCCAGGTAGTGTAACCACTGTTCCTTTAACTTTGAACTTGCAAACTATGCTTCCAACAGTGTCTCTCGGAACATTCAGTGTCCTCACTATTTTTTGTATCCTGCTCCTTGTTTGTGAAGGGCAATGATCTCTTCTCTTACCTTCTCGAACCATTCTCTTGACTTAACCATATTTCTAACATTTCTAAATTTGACACTCAGCAACCCCCTGGCCAGTTCAGGTATTTCATTGTTGCAGCTCAAGCACAACTATTGAAGCCCTTGATTAGTTGCATCAGGTATGCTTGAGACACCACTTGTGGTATCTGTGCTGTTGTGAGGGATTCTGTTCAGCGGGTTGAATAATAGTGAGACCAGGGAAGCCAGTATAAGTTGCATTTTCAGCTGAATTTGGGGAAACCACTTGAAGCATCCATTATGTTGAGCTATTTCAATTGTTTTTGTTTTGTTTGCTCATTGCAAACAGCTGACAGTCTGTAAATTTTGATAATAAACCTGATTTGCTAGAGGGGTTTAATAATTTCGATTGCAACTGTCTATCCCAGGTCTCAAAGGCCACGATAAGGAGGTGCATCTTCAGTATTTGCCGAAAACTGTAGAATGAAGACTCCGGGCACAATTCTGTGGGGCAGAAGTTCTATAATTTAGGAGCTGCCACAGAGAATGCCTTCTCCTAGGTCACCATCCCCTGAGCTTTGGAGGATGGGGGAACTACCAAGAGGGGCCCCTCTGCTAATCCTAACACCTGAGAGGGTCTGTAGGAATGGAGGTTGTCTTTCAGATAGGTGGGGACTGAGTCATTTTAAGGATTTAAACACCAATGTGAGTACCTTGAATTGAGCTCAGAAACAAACCAACAACCAACGCAGCTGTTTTAAAACAGGGATTATATGGGATCCAAATTGTTGTGGGAAGTTTGGCATCAAAATGAACCACAGCTAGTAATCTGGCCACTGCATTTTGGACCAATTGAAGTTTCCAAGTCATCTTCAAGTGTAGCCCCATGCAGAGCACATAACAATAATGCAGTCTGGAAGGTACCAGAGCATGGAGTGCAGTAGCCAAGTCATTTCTGTCCAACAAGGGGCCTTAGCTGGAAAAAGGCACTCCCAGCTACCATGGCCACCTGAGCCTTCATTGGCAGTGTTGAGGCCAGGAGCACCCTCAAGCTGCACACATGCTCCTTCCAGGGAAGCACAACCCTCTCTAGGACTGGCCATCTCCTCATCTCCCGGATGCGAGAGTGCAGAATATATAAGACCTTTGTTATGTCTAATCCCACCTATTGATGTCTGTTCTCTTCATTTTCTCACTGCTACCTAGGACCACCCAGCCCAAAAGATCTTACTTACACTGTGAAGTTACAGGCATATTGCTTTCAGTTTTGCAAGATCTGAGGTTTGGTTTGAAGGTCTCATAAGACTGTGGGAGAAAGGCATGGCCCACACTTATATTTAGCTACAGGCAGGGCAATCAGGCAGGCAAATCTACCCCCACACTTGAATAAAGGAGCAGACTGGCTGTTGGCTCTTTCAGTGAGTCAGGAAGGTATTTTGGTGTCATCCCTGACTGGCCATATGGCTGGCATGTTTTTCACATCCTGTGAGATGTTCCGTCTTTTGGGTTGGCCTTTAACTGTGATACGTCAACTGACTGGCTGTGGCCATTTTGTTCATGTCTTGCTTTCTTCTTGTGTCGTGTCTTTTTGCCAGAAGGTAGACAGCGGGAAATACCGGTGGCAGCATGAGTATGGGAAGGTGCCCAGAAACATCACCTTGGCTGACAAGGGTGCTAGCAGGACACTCGGAAGTCTGGAAGAACTGGAACAAGACTGAAGGAGGCCCAACGTGATAAAATCTACCTAACAAGAAGTTATGTCTTCCTGCTATGTGAACCTGTAACTTACAGTTGCAGTTTCTAGAGGGAGCCAAGTCATGCCAGCAGGCCATCTCAGTTAGTTGACCAGGCCAGCTGTGGGACTAATCCATGAAGAGCTAGCATCCCACGCAATCTCTCATCATATCTGCCTTGAAGTTTAAAAAATTGTAGTCCTCGTTCAACCCACTTACTTGTGTCTTGCCTCTTTATTTCTGGCTCTGGGTGCTGTGCACTTTTCACCAGCTAGCCTGAAGACAGCAGTCTATTTATTTCAGAACACTGCAGATGTACTCCAAGAGATAAGCCATCTGTCAGCTATGACAGGCCACATGAAAATGTATTAAGAATAAAATGGGCTTTAATTTTTTTTCCTTGACTAAATATTGACATCTATCATTACTAAATGCACTTTTAATAGCCCAGGACTTTTCTTGCCATCCAGTAATCTCATTGATTTTTGCTATGCGCCTTAAACCAAATTAGAAAGCAGAAGTCCAGGAACTTGTTAAAGAAGGCAGGAAATATTTCTTCTGGCTGAAGGTGCACTGAATATTCTCTAGGTTTGGCATTCACTTTCAAATTAGCATATTTGAAGCAGTCAGTTAAATTACAGGCAGCGGGACGGGGGATTATTCACCTTGTTTTTATGTTTTTCAGCACCTTTTAGATTTTCTGTATCTGCTTCATGGCATCACTTTCCTTCCTTTTCTTTGCTTTCTTTGCTCTTGGCCTCATTGCCCAGAGAGCTGTTTAATCCTATTGTCTGTGAAGTCGCTTGGGATTTTGTCCATGAGTGTCTATTACAACATCAACCAGACGTAGCATTATGACACAGTCACGACAGATATATCTACATGATGTCATCAACCTAGTCACATGGGTGACCTCAGCCCATTGGATCAAATGGCATCACAGCAAGTCAGTTCTGAGCATCAGCAACTGCCCACGGCTGACTCTGAGACAATCTGTCAAGGTGGAGAGAAGACACTTAACTGACATAATCAACTCTAAACTATTATATAAACCTGCTTAATTTTATACTGTATCATTTACATTGTACATGCATGGAATGCTTCTTGGGGTGGGGATATATGGGAATTGTTTCTTATAAGTACTTTCAGACACTGAAAAATTAAAGTTTTTAAAAATAGCAAAGAAGAAGCAGAAAAAGTGGTGCAGAGAAGTCTAACAAATGCATGCTTACATGCTGAAAGGGGGGAATAGCTTTTTTGATTTATACGCAAAAAGAAAACTGGCATGAGGTAAGACTTCACTCAGCCTTATCTGTGATCAAAGGAGGGGAAATCTACCAAAATTTAAGTTATGGCAAAGCATATGAAAGCACAGAGAGATTGTATAGGCTGTGAAGTCCTCCTTTTGCTTCCTAATTACTGGTGTTACACTTGTAATAGCAGCATCTGTGCACACTCAACACTCCTTCTGGACTAATGAATTTTAATTGATGGCATTTTGCATGGCTCTTGGTGGAACATCCCGCCCCCACTTGTAGAGGTGGCTGTGACCTTCTGCTCCCGTTTCCTAAGCGAGTGGCTTGTCTTCTGGGGATCTCATAACGTCAGGTGGTCAACAATAGGTGAAGAATGCTTGGACCTGCTGACCACCAATATCTTTTCAGCTGAGATGAAGCCAGATTGCTAAACAGCTTAGTGTTTCCCTCCTCCTCCTTTCCACCCAAATGTTTTATGCTCTGAGTTTAATGATGGCCTTTCTTTTGAGAAATGTTTCCTTAGAACTGAAAGGAAGGCGTCATCAGGCATTTCTTTTGAGGCTTTCTGATTGGTCATTTTGAATCTAGCCTCTTCCTGAGGTTTTTCAAATTATTTTTCTTTAAATGTGATGTGTAATTATTTCAGGCCCTCTCAGGAGCCCCTTTATAACAGTGAAAAAATGGCACCTGAGTACAAAAGAGCTAAGGAACATGATTGCGTATACAAGGGAGTGAAAGAAAATTGGTGTGTCTGGATGAAATTCTTTTTAGTTCTATAAATGTGTTAGATTTTTATTCAGAAAAAGGAAAGGGGGCAGGGAGAACAATAGTTTTTCTATGCCCACTCATTTCTCTAGATGTGATGACGAGACAGTGCAATGAGAAAAAGTACATAGCTTTATAGAGAAGCTTGCATTGATGGTACTCTCTGCCCTTTTACTAGGGATTTAATAGGAAGAAAATAATTTGCAAATGCAACAGCAGTAGCGCTTTAGATTACTGGAAGAAAGTCCCCAATCTGGAAAACCATAGCTCTTAAAACATCCAATACATCAGAGGCAGCACACTTCATAGAAATGATGCTGCACTCAGTGTCTGGTTTATAGGCAGACAGGAAATTGGCCACCCCCTGCCGGCTAATTAACAAAGCAGCTTTGTCATTAGTTTTAAAGACAGCCACTTGCCTGCTTCCCTGCCTGTCTGCCCACCCAAAGGGAGCAATCACCAAGTTCTAATGAGAATGTGTTAATTGTGAGTGATGTCTCAGACTTGTAATAGTCTGCGGTCTTGTGTCATTAAAACACACACACACACACAAGTGTACCTTGCCTCAAAGCAGCAACCCAGCAAGCTTTTTAAAGGAAGACTAAAGGAATGGTTTCAATAGAATCAAGGCATATCCTTGCTTGCTAGTCAACTAATTTGCAATATGTGTAGCTCCTATGCATTGTTCTTTATCTATTAGTAGCAGTGGTAGTTATTGTAGTTGTCATTCGATTTCTACCCCAAACACTATAAAACAGCTTCTACTCCACAACCACAACAGGAGCTGTAACTCTCCAACAGTTTGATTTCACCCCCAAAGGCATATGCCTTGATTGATTCCCAAGACAGACAGATGTCAGCAATACCCTTCCAATACTCTTCCATGTGGCCAACATGTTTTCACCTATTTCCCCCCCTGGGGATGCCAACTCTGTCTTTGTCTCCATCAAAGGTGAGTGAGGGATCTTCTCTACCTGCTATATCTTCACTCCGCCACCAAAAAAATGCTCTGTCTGACATGGTGATTTCGTGGTAATTCAAAAACAAAATCACAAGGTCGCCACAGCTAGACAAGTTAAGGGCAGTGAGGGCAAAAGAGGTTGGGAAAAGTGAAGGCAAAGAAGCAGCAATTTGGCAATTTGGCAAAATGAGCCTTTTTGAAGTTAGCTGAGAAGGGCAGAGTATGCTAATTGCTAGGAGAATGTTGAATTAAGTGAATATTTTGTGCAGCCGTTTTGGCTGATGGGCATTTGTGTACTTTGCAGTGCTTTTCATTTCAAAAAATTTAAAGCATTGCTTTTTGTCCTGGACCAGAAGGCCTTTTCTTTTCGGTCCAAGAGTCTGACTTGAAATGTCAGAGATTTAGCATTCTTTTAAAGGTCTCTAGAAGAAAGGCTAAAAGATCAATGTGTGGGAACAAAACCAAGGGGCAGGCTACCTTTTGTGCCACATGAATGCTTTAGCAATTAAGTCCATCCACAGACATCGTGGCCGCAGATCAGAAATTGTCAGCTGCAGAATCCTATAATGGGAGACCTGAGTGGGAGATGTATTCATGCCCTGGCTCTCAGCATGTGGATCTGTTGGCGCCAGAGTCTGCGTCTCACTCCTGAACCCTCTGCCACCAAACTCCAAACAGGATATGAGAACCTTCCCCCAAAGAATCTCCCACAGCCTGAAACCCCACTGCCTAAAAAACCCAGTGGCTGCATTAAAAGGTACCAGTACTCTATTGGCAGGGCAGACTGCAGCTTCCTTGGGCTCTTGCCCCTCTTGCCCCTTCCCTTTCTTCCTCAAACCACACCCCTCCTCCCTCAGGGCCCCACACCTATAAAGGGATAGAAATCTTGACCAATATGGCAACCCCCTTTTGCCAGAGGAAAATATATATACATTTGAATTTGTTGGGGGTAAATCCACTTATTTTGTATGCCTCAGCTCAGCTCCAAAGGATTCATTATGGTATACTAATGCTATTTATAGGCAGATTATATTAATAGACTGAATTTTCTACAGATTGCACAAACTATTGAGAAACTATTCTCAGTTTTGCTTGTTTCTGTTGACTCAGTTCTCCACTTCAGTGTTTTCACAGTCAAAAAATGTGTATGTTAGGTGATAGAATCCATCCTTTACTGTCATCTCCAAATATCTTTGGGTGGGGGAGGTACTTTGCATAAACATAACTTACTTCAGTTCTCCACAAGGATTTTCTGCTTCACCTGCTGTGCTGAGATAATAGAAGGTAATCTAGGACTGGCCTAACAATACCTTATTATCATGTTGAACCAAATAGAAAAGCACTAATGTAAGCCAAAGACAGAATAGCAAATGAAAGGCTGCCCTATTGAAGTAAATACTGTTTTTTAAAAAATAAATTCAATTTCTCAAAAAAAGCCTTTCATAATCATTTAACTGTAGTTCATCTCTATATTAAGCAAGTGTGCATATCGTGTACAAAAATGGCACATTGTAGAGCTTATATGCCAAGGTAACAAGGTTGTCACATACATGACCCATATAAATAGACACAGCATAATCAATCAGAAAAAAATCAAAGAAGAGGAATCATCTTTGATATGCCATGCATATTCAACACAGTACATGTGGAGATGTAATGCTGTGAGCACTGTTAAAAAGGAGCTTTGGATGAAAAGTTGAAAGCATGCAGTCCTACCACAAGGCATTGCAGCCTGTCCTGCCCCACAGTGCTCTTGTGGTTATGAATGACGAGGGGGAGGACCACGCATGCCACAGGGAGTACCTTGGAGGTATACAGAAAATGCACATATCAAAAGTACAACCGTCAGAATCAATGTTACTCCCTCTCTTGTCATTGGAAACTTAGTCTAGAAATGTGTTGCCCCCCACATTGTTTCAATGCATCCAGAAAAAGTTCATTTCTCTTAATTTCTTCGCCTCAAAGTGAATTCCTGACAGAGGTGGAACTTCACCTGCAGTCTTATAAACTTTCTCATTTAACTCAATGAGGCTTAATTCTGAGTAGGTGTTTGTAGGGTTGCACTCCTGCACAATATATTTCAGAGGTGGCATTCCTGTCCATCAATGTTACACTAACAACTAACAAACAAATTTTGTGTAACATAGCCTAATATGGGCAGGAGTGGGTTTATGCCACAATGTTCACTCTGACATAAGCACCACTGAATTCCACAGGGCTTATTCCCTGACCCTGGTTAGTATGTACACGATTGCAGCCTAAATTGGCTGCTCTTAAGGTGCTACGGAGTATTTTTAAGGGGGGAAGAATATCTTCACCCCACCCTACCCTTCTTTTCAACAATGTGGAGTAAGGGTATTACGGTAAGTGGGCTGGGATCTGGGAGAGAAGCTTACTGAGTGACCTTGGGCTAGTCACTGTCTCTGAGCGTAACCTACCTCACAGGGTTACTGCTAATATAAATTGGGGATGGGAAGAAACCTGGGCTCCTTGGAGGAAAGCTGAGAGCTAGCAAACAGAACCCCCACCCAGATTGAGGCTACACTCCTACATATGTTACCCAGGAGTAAGCCTCATTGACTACAGTGCGACCTACTTCTGAGTAAGCACACACAGGATTCAACAATAATGGGGAAGTTTCCAGTTTGGTGATTGTTTTTGAGGATGGAGAGTAAATATAGCAAACAAGAAATAAAAAAAGACTCATTCCTGCCTGCAGCATAAGCAAGTGCCCCCCTATATACCCCACAATCCCTCCCTCACCCACCCTATCCCACTTCCATCCTGCTCCATTTTTCTTAGCTGCTTCTTCTCCCCATTCCCAACTATGTGAGGTAAAGGGTGAGGGAGCAGGGAAGAAGCATAAAAGATCCCAGCTGACCTGTCAGCTCCTCAACATCACAGAGAGAAGAGAGTCTGTCTTGCATAGCTATTGCCTTATCTTGCTGATATGTATCACAATGGATCAGGGCATCTGGATCTGCCCCCCCGATCCACCGCGTGCCATCCTTCACTGAGCTCTGTCTTGTCCAATCAGAATTCCTCTTTCAGCTTCTAGCCTCTGTCCCTTGAGTCTCAGAACCTCGACAAGCTGAGGTGCGGTGGAGCATTAAGCATCAACCATCAACAAAATAAACTGTTTTATTATTCCTTTCCCCCATTTTATAAGCCAGGTGTCTGGATCACATTTTTATTGTCACAGGAGTCTCCAGAAGTGAATGGCTGACCCCATTCAGCTGCCTAGAGTTCACTGCCCCTATCTAAATACATACTCTGTAACTACACTGCAATGTACCTGCTCACCTATTTGCACAACTAGCTCTTTGGAGAGAAAATATGTGGTCATTAGGAATGAGAATAGATGGACACACCATGGATCCATCCTTTGCCAATTCATATTTGTACCTGAAATTTCCCCTTTCCTATTAGACCATTGTGTGCTCAACTTCACGTTCTGCCTCAGACTGCTTGTCTGTGAAAGAGGGTTGCATGAAGAGCAATTGATGAAGCACTGAACAAAAATGAAGAAAGAGAGCTCTTGAAATCACTCATTGATTTTTAACTATTCATTTCCTTTGGTTTCAAGGCTACAAAAATGTGTGGCATTGTAAAAGCCACAACTGCTTTACATTTTGAATTGCAAAAATTCACTTAGAGGCTGAAAAGGTTTGATTTCTTAATTTCACATATTCAAAAACTGAATAGAAATACCCTGGCGCACACTCTCAAGCAATTGTGGCTGCTGGGTCGAGAAAAGAAAGGATAAAAAGACAGTTACAAATACATTTAGAATGTATTATGTATTCATTTGTACATCAGTACCACAAAGTTATCAATCTCAATTGTAAATCTCTTTAGGGCAGGAAAATAATTACTCAAGTCACTAGCATCAAAAGTGATTTGCTCAAGTAACAACAGTGCAAGCAAAACTAAATCAATAGCAGTTTGTGGTACATTTGCTTAATGAGAATTAAATAATAGTCCATACTGAATCTGGGGTGCAGGATGAGAGTCAGCTTTAGTCACCTCTACTATGTCTCATATTTTGTTTCGGGGGGCAGGGACAACTATTAACTCTAAGGCTGTTGTGGAGGGTTCCAAATTTGATCAGAGCAGTAAAACCAATTCCCCTTTTTCATTGCCACAAATGTTGAGAGACCCAGCTATGGCTCCCACACACAACGACCCTTTTCTCCTTGGCCATGTTTAAATGTGTGTGTATGTGTTTGTGCGTGTGTCTTCAAAGACCTTTTATCCATTATAAGTAGTAATATCATTCATTAGGTACCTATAAATGTTTTATGTGCTGCACAGAGCTAAGAACATCTCATGTTCTTGTTTCTAGATTGCCTTATAAAATATTATTTCCTAAAAAGCTCAAGTCCATGAGAATTTGGCTGAGCAAACACATTGATTTCTTCCTGCAAGGAAGTACTTTAGTATGCCATTAAACCATGTTTATATGGTGCAATAAATAAATAAAAAATTTGGGATTGTTTGTTTTTAACAGAGAGTAATAGATCACTATGCTGTCCATGGCAGAGAGGAATAACTAGCTTGGAGCACTCCTAAAGCAACATTAATACTGGTCTCCAGATGACAACCCAATGATCACAGAATCATAGAATTGTAGAATTGAAAGGGCCTCTTAGTCCAACCCCTGAAATGTAGGAATCTCAACAACGCATCTATGACAGATGGTCATCCAACCTCTGCTTTAAAACATCCAGTGAAAGAGAGTCCACCACCTTCCAAGGGAGTCCGTTCCACTGTCAAACAGCTCTTGCCATCAGAAAGTTCTTCCTGATGTTTAATTGGATTCCCCTTCCTTAATTGGATTCTCTTCCTGCCTGGTTCGGGTCCTCTTTCCAGAGCAAGAAAAAGCAAGCAGAACTGGCAGATGTGATCTCAGAACCACTGGCAGTCATCTTTGAGAATTCCTGGAGAACAGGCGAAGTCCCGGCAGACTGGAGGAGGGCAAATGTTGTCCCTATTTTCAAAAAGGGGAAAGAGAGGACCCAAATAATTACCGCCCAGTCAGTCTGACATCAATACTAGGGAAGATTCTGGAGCAGATCATTAAGCAAACAGTCTGTGAGCACCTAGAAAGGAATGCTGTGATCACCAATAGTCAGCATGGATTTCTGAAAAATAAGTCATGTCAGACTAACCTGATCTCGTTTTTGTGACAGAATTACAAGCCTGGTAGATGAAGGGAACGCAGTGGATGTAGCCTACCTTGATTTCAGCAAGGCATTTGACAAGGTGCCCCATGATATTCTTGTAAAGAAGCTGGTAAAATGCGGTCTTGACTATGCTACCACTCAGTGGATTTGTAACTGGCTGGCTGACCGAACCCAAAGGGTGCTCATCAGTGGTTCCTCTTCATCCTGGAGAAGAGTGACTAGTGGGGTGCCACAGGGTTCTGTCTTGGGCCCAGTCTTATTCAACATCTTTATCCACGACTTGGATGATGGACTCAAGGGCATCCTGATCAAATTTGCAGATGACACCAAATTGGGAGGGGTGGCTAACACCCCAGAGGACAGGATCACACTTCAAAACGACCTTGACAGATTAGAGAACTGTGCCAAAACAAACAAGATGAATTTTAACAGGGAGAAATGTAAAGTATTGCACTTGGGCAAATAAAATGACAGGCACAAATACAAGATGGGGACACCTGGCTTGAGAGCAGTACATGTGAAAAGGATCTAGGAGTCTTGGTTGACCACAAACTTGACATGAGCCAACAGTGTGACGCGGCAGCTAAAAAAGCCAATGCAATTCTGGGCTGCATCAATAGGAGTATAGCATCTAGATCAAGGGAAGTCATAGTGCCACTGTATTCTGCCTTGGTCAGACCTCACCTGGAGTACTGTGTCCAGTTCTGGGCACCACAGTTCAAGAAGGACACTGACAAACTGGAACGTGTCCACAGGAGGGCAACCAAAATGGTCAAAGGCCTGGAAACGATGCCTTATGAAGAACGGCTAAGAGAGCTGGGCATGTTTAGCCCGGAGAAGAGGAGGTTAAGGGGTGATATGATAGCCATGTTCAAATATATAAAAGGATGTCACATATAGGAGGGAGAAAGGTTGTTTTCTGCTGCTCCAGAGAAGCGGACACGGAGCAATGGATCCAAACTACAAGAAAGAAGATTCCACCTAAACATTAGGAAGAACTTCCTGACAGTAAGAGCTGTTCGACAGTGGAATTTGCTGCCAAGGAGTGTGGTGGAGTCTCCTTCTTTGGAGGTCTTTAAGCAGAGGCTTGACAACCATATGTCAGGAGTGCTCTGATGGTGTTTCCTGCTTGGCAGGGGGTTGGACTCGATGGCCCTTGTGGTCTCTTCCAACTCTATGATTCTATGATTCTATGATTCCCTCTTCCATGCAATAGCCCTTTAGAGAATTGAAGATGGCTGTCATATCTCCTCTCAATGTCCTCTTTTGCTGGCTAAACATACCCAGCTCCCTCAACCATTCCTCATAAGATCCTTGATCATCTTGGTTGCTTTCCTCTGCACATATTCCAGCTTGTCAATAGCCTTCTTAAATTGTGGTGCCTAGAACAGGAAACAAGACTCCAAGGCAGAATAAAGTGGTACTATGACTTCCATTGACTGGGACACTATACTTCTGTTAATGCAGTCTAGAATAGCATTCACTTTTTTTTTTGCATCACACTATGGACTCACATTAAGCTTGTAGTCTACTAAGACCCATAGATCCTTTCCACATGTACTACTGGCAACCCAGGAGTCTCCTGCCTTATATTTGTAAAGCTGTTTCTTCCTGCCTAAGTGTAGAACCTGAAATTTGTCCCTATTGAATTTTATTTTGTTAGTTTGGGCTCAATACTACAATCTGTTAAGGTAATCTTGAAACCCAATTTGGTGTCATCTGCATCCATTCCATCATCCAAGTTGTTTATAAAGATATTGAACAACAATGAGCCCAGGAAAGAATGTCACTTGTCACTTGTTTTCCAGGATGATGAGGAACCATTAGTGAGCACTCTCTGGGATCGGTCAGTCAAGCAGCCACAAATCCACCTAGCAGTTACCTCATCCAGCCCATGTTTTTCCAACTCCTCCACAAGGATTTCATGGGGAACAATGACAAAACCCTTACTGAAATCAATATACACCACATCTACAGCATTCTCCTGATCCACCAAGCTCATTTCAAAAGATTCATCTGTCATGCCTTGTTTTTGATACACCCATGCTCGGTCTTAGTAATCACAACATACTTTTCTAAGTGCTCAGAGACTGACCATTTAATTATCTGTTCTAGGACCTTTCCTAGTATTGACGTCAAACTGGGTGGTTGGTAGTTAATGGGGTCTTCTCCCTGCCACATTTTTGAACATCTGCCTGCCTCCAATCTACAGGGACCTCAGCTGTTCTCCAAGAATTCTCAAAGATTACAGACAGAGGTTTCTGAGATTTCTGGGATTTTTGAGGAATTCAGTATTTGAGAATCCCTATACAAAATGTCCTGCTTCTTATTCCTTGGGCAGATTGGAACTTGCCAGAGTTCACTCTTTTCTGACCCAGTACTTGGCAGTTTAAAAGTAGTGAAACAAGTATTTAAATACTGTTTAGAGATAGAAGACATAATTAAATATTATTTTGAGAGGGCATTTTTTAAAATTTGCAGATTAATACAGAAACAGAACACAGTCATGGATAAAAACATGAAAAGAGTTAAAAGCAAGCACATTCTCTGCTCAGCCACAATCTAATGTCAATGTAATGTAAGAGAGAGAAAACCCAGGCAACTGACCCTGCTCTCCTGCAAATTTCTTAGGAAATTTATGCCTCTCACACCCAAATTTCATTAGGATTTCTACTCACACACACAAACACACCCCACACACCATTAATGGTCAAATGGTTAAATGACAGTCAAAATATTGGCCCAACACTCAGCAAAACTAAATGAGAAAGAAATAAAATATTCAGATTAAGTTATACTAACATTATGCTGGTGCACACTGGTCACTGTCTTGGTAGTACAATAAAATGGCCTGGTTATGTCAGGATTGATGTGATCTGTATCAGAGGAGTGACATAATCTGGGTTGTTATTGTCAGCTTGATCACAAACAAAGTAGATAATACATTTCATTGGATTGACTTTTATTAATGTAGATGCATGTAAACCTATTGTTTGTCAGATAAAAGTATGTGCAATTCATGTTGTCTGTGTAATTATCATTCACATCTCTCTTTATTCAGACTACAGAATGTTCTTCCCTATATATCTTCAGTGGCTCCCCAGCCCTTTCTGCATTCAGAAACTCCTCATTCTCAATGCTTTAACACTCACCAAAATGTTGCTCCAGCCCTATTTCTCTGCACTGACTTTCCATGATACTCATGCATGACCTTCACTCTCTCAACTCTGCCAAACTCACCTATCCAAAAAGTTCTTGCTTCATTAATTGACTCTGCCCATTTGCTCCTGCTCGCCCTTATGCCTGGACTCTTTTCCAGAATGCCTGTTGACAATTTTCTGTCTTGAGAGACAATGGAGTACGCTTCTGGCAGTGAAGTCAAGCTGTTAGAGAATCACAGTACTTCTTGTGGCTGCAGAAACTGGTATCTTGTAACTACTGCTTCCCATGTTTTTGCTGTGTTAGCAGCACCAAAATGGTCATCCCAGGTCACAAGTCTGGGCAGTGTGTATGGAGGTCCTGGGCTGCATAGGCGACAGGACCTCCCTCCCAGCCTTGCTGATGCAGTCCAAAGGAAAGCAGAGCAATACGTTTGGCAGCAGCTTGGTTGCAGCAGTTCCCAGAAAAGGGTGTTTTCTTCTTAGCCCTTTCTTCTCCCAAATATGTCCCATAAGATAGCCAACATGGAATTTTCCTCAAGGTTTACTCCCAAAGCCTTTCTCACAAATGAGTATAGCCACAAGACAGCAGAGGTTTGAGATCAGAGTTTTCCTTCTTCTAGATGGGCTTCCTTCCCAGGTGGAATTCCTCAACAGCATGTGCAGAAACTGCCTTCTTGACCGTTTGACCCACTATTGGTCCATTCTATCCTTTCTCAAAATAATAACAATAATAATGATGATAATGATAATGATAATCTGTGAAGGCTTTGCAATGAAGCCAAATAACATATTAAACACATTAATGAATATTCCTTCCAATTTCATGAAGCAATTACCTTCTTCTGACTTATTTATCCTGTAAGGTGTCATATACATTGATGGTGCTAGGTAAAACAAACTTGCAAGCAATCATACCAGAGTCGTTGTTCTAACTTGCAGAAATCTTTCATTCTTCCTGACCAACCTCCACCCCTCTGCCCAGCCAAAACCTTAACTTTCTTTTTTAAAAAGGCAGAAATACACAATCAATCCTAGACAAATAAGAATATACTGAACCCCTAGCCAAACAATAAAGAGAAACTGTCAATGAGATCAGTGTGATGAAATGTTGTTTCTCTCTTTCTTTCTGGCAGCTGTAGCTAAGGCAAATTTTGAAGCCCAGGTTCCCAAAATGTTTAAGCAGAGTCCCTTAGCAGAGAAATAAGTAGCTGATATCCACACAAACACCTCATCTTTGAAATAAGGCAAACGATGTCCTTTTGACAATCAATGCTATAAAAAGCCTTAAAAAAGGACAGTGAAGATAGAACGTGGCAAGATGCAGCCATTAAGAAGTCTGCAGCGTCTCATGCTTTCACAATTACAAGGCAGTGTCACTGTGAATGAGTTAAAAATCAATAAAAAGAAGGCAAGGGAACTAACATGAACTACATTTACTCCTGTCCTTATTGATGTTGCATTTCATGAAGCTGCGACGTAGCTGTGCTGTCTGCTCAGCCACCTGTCACTGAATTATAATTTTTTTAAAAAAGAAGGAAAGCAGTGTGAATGCATTTAATTCATTTTGCCAAAGCAACTTTATTTAGAAAGCTGTTTACCTTTCCGCAAAGCCTCATTACCCATAAAAACAAAGAATGAAGTTGATTAATGTGCTCTAAGTGTGATGTTCAAATTGTAATTTTCATATACGCAAATGGATGCTTCGGCAGAATTTTGTTTGATAATTTACAGAGTTAGCACCGTCCAAACCACTAATCAGTTTCTTTTTATGATGACAGCTGTGGGAGATCCCTTTTGAATGCTAATTTTCATTAGCGCCTTCTCTCAGAGAGCACTGGGGACTTTCTCTTAGAGAACTCCAGGGCAATGAGAAGTTGTTTTGTGACCTGCGCAGTTGCTTCTCTAAAAGATGGAAACTTGGCAAAGAGTCTTTGGTCTGGGATGACCCACTTGTGGGGGGAAAGGATGGCTTCCAGAGTGAAGTTGGCTTCAGTCAGTGTCCTGTAAACAAAGGAAGAGAAATGAATTATCACAAACTTTCCTGTATTTTTTTTTGCAGGATAATGTTAAAAATACAGATTAATAGTGCACAATTTGCACAGGATTTCTACCAGCCCCTTCTACTTTTCAATTAATGACAAAGCGCCAAATGTAACAATGCAGCCTGTGATAAGAAATGGAAAAGACAACTGGATTAATGTTTTAGCCTATCACATATGAAGGCTGTCAGGAGGAATGCTGCCGTGCTATAGCATGCTTTGGCTTAGGGTTGCTTTGGCTTCTCAGATCAATTTTCTGCAGCAGGATGAATGTGGTGTTTCTTTCTGTTAATTTGCAATCTTCATGCATGGACACCAGTATTAATGTTTTATGCCAGTGTAAATGCTAAGTAACCAATCCAAGGTTCTAAATATATGAGTGTTCTGCTGCTCTGCATCGGTATGAGGAAATTAGACTGATGCTGTGCTGTGCAAAAATGTACTTTTGGTGAGCAGGAAGGGCATACTTTCATTAAGCAGGGGCTTTTTCATTCTGCTTTCCTTTATGGCATTATTCAATACAGAAATTAAAGATATAAAAGTCAAAAGTTGTTTTTAAAAATCCCCAACAACCCAGAACATCCTAGAGTCGAATAAGAAGAAATGTTTACAAGTTTATCTTGCAAACAAAAGAACTGTAATTCAGCAAATTCATTCTACGGGTTCCTTTGTGGTCATCCTGGAGCAAAGAAACGTCAAAGGAACTTGATGCTGCAGTGTGAACTGCTGAATTAAAATATATCAAGAGGATGAATCCTATTGCTTGTGAATTGAACAGAGGCAAGGGAATTTTTTAGCATTCTGTATGAGTTCATTGGCTTGCCAATGCCAGGATATCTGTGTTAACAGTGCTAATTCACAAATCAGTTGTTCCTAATTGCTTAATTATAACCACCTGCTGCTCTGCCTCACCTCCACACCATCCCAAAAAGTGGCAGTCCACACTGTTTCCCCTTCCCACTGGGTGTGCCTGTCACAATATATCCCACAATATGTCAAAAGCTCAGTGCAATAAACATGTTTAAATGCGGAGATAAAATCTGTATCTATATACTGAAATAGATGAATCCTTGCTTTAGAACCTTTAATTCTCTTTTATAGCATATGGAGGCCTCCATATAGAACAATTCACTTCACTGGCTATGCAGAGGTTGTATCTGTAGGTATTCACAGGTAGCTGAAGAAAAATGACCCTGACTCAGACCAATCTAGGGCTGCCCAAGGTCTTACTTTATCACACATCTATTTAATCAATAGATGCAAGATGGTATCTGGGGCATGGATGCTGAATCCTGTTTACCCAGGGCACAATCTAGCAAATGTTTGTCATGCCTTAGTTTATGCATTCGTAAGAATTCAGCTTTGCCCAGAAGGTGCCACTTCTGGCTGCCGTTGAGGGATCACAAGTTTACCTCCTTCAGTCAGGAAGATTCAGACTAGCCTTCTCCATGCCATTTTTAATGTGTAGAGTGCATCCCCCACCCAGCTCATGAGAAAGTATTTTTCAACATGAAATTCCCACCTGTAGTGTTGGATGTGGTACACGGCTGACTTGAGGGCTAGGGAATCACTATTGCCTTTTTAGAGAGGAAAACATAGGAAACCAACATGGCATGGGCATATTTGGTCCTCTCTTTCCAGCCTGTACATGGCCATATTCTGCTGGGATTCCATCTCTACCTGCTGAGAGTGTACCTGTTTTCAGTATTCCTGTCCTTCCCAGGTTGCTATACAGAGCAGAACCCCTGCTGCCTGTAGGGTATGCCATCTTGTTATCTTGCTACACGGTTTTAGGGTCAGTGCTTTGGCCTATCAACTGCCTTAGACTGCCTGTTCTGCAGACACAGCATACAGTTTCCAGCTTAGTCATAAAACCAAATAAAAATCTTATAATTCTGATGGTTGTGTGCTACATTTATTGCAATGTGTTTGCTCCTGCATCATTTCATCTCAAAATGGCCATGCCAAGAATTTTATTCTACATCTTCTCAGGGATTTTAAATTTCCTTTGTGGTCCTCAGAAAGTCACATTCACATTAAACCAAGAGTGCAGTAACGACACCAAGAAAACAGGATCCTACAGCAAGGCAAGACCATTTCATGACAAGTTAATCCTTACAAGGAAATGCTAACCATGCATAGCTCAATCAAATATTATAGACAGGAACCAGTGCTACTCATTCTGCAAACCAGGTTCAAATTTGGGGTGGTTTGTCACTCACAGGTTCATCAGCAGGAGCCAGGGTTATTTCTGTGGCTACAGATTCATCAGTAGAGCAGCAAATAGAACACCTGAGGCCTCCTCAGGTGCCTCTTATGTTTGTTACTTGGAAGCAAGAACTGCAAAAGGCAGCAGCAGCAGCAGCAGCAGCACCCCAGCTGGGGAAGCCCTGCCTTGTGAGGCACTAACAACTGGAGCTGCTTTGGTAATCTTTTCTAGGCTGGGAGTATGCTTTGAAACCTACTATGGCCCACAGAATCAGATGCAGAACTGGGGCAGCTGGGGAGGGGAAGGAGGGCTTTTATACAGCTTTCTCCTCCCCACATACTCTTGTATCTACCACCAGAAACCAGGAGCCCCACGCAGCTAGGGACTCATTTTTCTTGATTTAAAAAGTATTATAGCACAACAGTTTTCTTGGCAGGGACACTGGAGTGGCTTGCTGGTTCCTGCTCCAGGTGGATCACGTTTGTTCAAAACTCTCCACTATGACCTGATCTTGGGTGCCTGCACGGCATAGTTCATAGCTTCTCTGAGTTCTTCAAGCCCCTTTGCCACAGCAAGGCAGTGATCCATGAAGGTGCTGGAGGAGACTCTTGAGATCAAACCTCTCCATTCTTAAGGAAATCAGCCCTGAGTGCTCACTGGAAGGACAGATTCTGAAGCTGAGGCTCCAGTACATTGGCCACCTCATGAGAAGAGAAGACTCCCTGGAAAAGACCCTGATATCAGGAAAGATGGAGGGCACAAGGAGAAGGGGACGGCGCGAGGACAAGATGGTTGGATAGTGTTCTCAAAGCTACCAGCATGAGTTTGACCAAGCTGCGGGAGGCAGTGGAAGACAGGAGTGCCTGGCGTGCTCTGGTCTATGGGGTCACGAAGAGTCGGACACGACTAAACGACTAAACAACAACATAGCACAACAGTCATGACCCTATATCAAGGGTGAATCAGCTAAACCACATCCTGCCATTATAACAAGAAATCAGTAGATTCTACTGCTCAGAAACTGGTTAAACAAATTGATCTGAAATGGGACAGCATAGGAGAGGAAGGCTTGAAAATGTCCCCTGCCAAATATTGGCTAGAAAGGATAAGAAACGGCTCATGAGCTAAACATTTATGAGTGACATTTTGGCAGGCATTGTGGGTTTTTCATCATAGGCTTTGCTAGCATGGAGCTTAGGAGAAAATTACCCCCTTTGTACGATATCTTTTGGAATATGGTTCGTTATGTTAGCTCAATGGAAACTTCTGCTGTGTACTACTTCCACCCAGTAGTACAGCACTGTAGTATAGTACTGTCGTAATTTTTGTAGTTTCTGGCCAATTTCCCAGCATATGTAATCAATAAAGAAATTCCCACTTGGGAGAGAGCCAGTGTGGTGTAGTGGTTAAGAGCGGTAGACTCGTAATCTGGGGAACCGGGTTCGCGTCTCCGCTCCTCCACATGCAGCTGCTGGGTGACCTTGGGCTAGTCACACTTCTCTGAAGTCTCTCAGCCCCACTCACCTCACAGAGTGTTTGTTGTGGGGGAGGAAGGGAAAGGAGAATGTTAGCCGCTTTGAGACTCCTGAAGGGGAGTGAAAGGCGGGATATCAAATCCAAACTCTTCTTCTTCTTCTTCTTCTTCTCAAAGATTGCCTGGCAACTGCTTGAGATGGAACCACACAGAATGGAAAGTTGGAAGGGACCTTGAAGCTTATCTTGTCCAGCCAGTGCAAGGTGGTTTTGAGGTGAATCACTCCTCCTGCATACTGCTTCCCGTCCCCTCAGGACATGATGATTTTGTATTTTGAACAAAAAAGTTTGAAACTAAGCCCTCTAAATATGTGAGTACATATAAAACGGAAAAATTTGGGGGGTGGGGAGGGATCATTTCACCAAATTTCTTTCAGTAAAAGAAATTATTCAACACTTTCTTAGTGCTCAGCTTCTTTCCTTTCCCATACATAGATTTGCCAACTGCAACGGTGTTTGCAGTCCTGGCTCCACTATGCATCGTCTACAATGCCTCATATGTAGCATCATTCTGGGGCAGTGTATGTGGGCGCTCTTGCTCTCTCCCCTCCATGTGTGTGGAATGTTGTCATCACCAAAAAAGGGGGGAATGTTCTGAGAAAATTTGGTTAAGTGGTCCTTCTTTTGAGAAATTTCAATCCAGCTCTATTCACATGGACAATGGACTTAGTGTCCACTACTTTGACTTTCCCCCTTTACTTAATGTCCACTATTTCGACTATTCCCCCTTTACCATACATGTAAACATATTTTCATATCTTGCTAGAAAATAAAATCTACCAAAAAGAAAGAAATGCTCCTTTTCCAGGCTCTTGTTTAAGCCAAAGGTTGTCAGCTTGGCTTTCACACCTCAAAGACAAAGGAGAACGTGGATGTACTCCCAATCAATTGCCTTCCAGATCATGCCCTGCAGTTACTTAAATCGATGGACACATTTCCCCCAAGACTTTCATTTCTTCAGGGATAATGTTTTAGCTCAGTTCAGAGAAAAGAATTTCATGACAAGGGCAGCCAGATTTGGAAAGTTCACCATCAGCAAACAAAATTATGTATCATACATACATCATTACATGCATTTTTATTCATTAAAATTCACTCAAGGAGAATAAAATTGCAACTTTTGTTTTTCATCCACAGAACTATTAAACAACTAGAATTCCACAGAATCACACCCACACACCCCAACACTTTCAACTACAATTCTCATCAGCCCCAGTCAC